GCACTTTGGGCCAAACTCGAGGTACTCTACCTGACAAAGTCTCTAGCTAATAGGCTCTTTCTGAAGCAGCGCCTATACGCCTTCAAAATGCATGAAGACAAATCCGTCTCAGAGCAGATTGATGAGTTCAACAAAATCATCGATGACCTCGAGAACATCGATGTGAAGATGGACGATGAGGACAATGCACTACTGTTGCCAAACTCTATTCCAAAGATTTACGAGCATTTCAAGGATGTGATGCTATATGGAAGGGCGCAGACTATTACTATAGAGGAGGTTCAATCTCTTATTAGAGCTAAAGAACTTCAGAAGAAGCACGACAAGAAAGAAGAAATCAGTGGAGATAGTCTAACAGTTAGAGGAAGATCGAGCAAGAAAGGCTTCAAAAGTGATCAGAGCAGATCAAAGTCCAGAAAGAAGGGCAGAAGTCAGTCTTCTAAGAGATCTAACAAGTGTTACCACTGCCACAAGGAAGGTCACTTTAGAAGGAACTGTCCGGATAGAAAGAAAAGTTTTCAAAAGAAGCCCAGAGATTCTGGAGAGGCAAGTGTAGCCTCAGATGGCTATGATTCAGCTGAAGCTCTGGCGATCACAGAATCTGAATCTAGCAGGGAGTGGATCCTTGACTCAGGGTGCTCCTTCCATATGTGTCCCCACAAATACTGGTTCGAGTCACTGCAGCTGGAGAACGGTGGGTCTGTTCTACTTGGTGATAATAAAGCTTGCAAGGTAGTCGGCAGCAGGACAATCAGAATAAAGATGTTCGATGGAGCTAAAAGGATACTGCAGCACGTCAGGTATGTCCCGGAACTCAAAAGAAATCTGATCTCTCTAGGTACGCTGGAGTCAAGTGGATATCATACGCTGGAGTCAAGTGGATACTCATTCAAGGCAGAGAATGACTGCATCAGAGTATCCAAAAGGTTCTCTCGTAGTCATGAAAGGAGTTCGAAAGAATGTACTATACTCACTAGTTGGAAGAACCGTGATAGGCAACTTCTCAAATGCAGTTCAATCAAAACCTGACAGGACCAGACTATGCCAGACTATGGCACATGAGACTGGAGACTGGGGCATGTAAGTGAAAGAAGCTTACAAGAACTGTCCAAGCAGAATCTGTTATGTGGAGATTGAGTCAGCAAACTGGAATTCTGTGAACGTTTTGGGGAAGGCCACCAGGGTGAAGTTCTCTACCGGAACTCACTCATCAAAGAAACCCCTTGACTATGTTCTCAGCGATCTATGGGGGCCAGCCAGAACTCAGACTCATGGAGGAGGGAGATACTTCATGTCCATCATAGATGACTATATCAAGAAGGTATGAGTTTTCATCCTTAAATCAAAAGATGAAGCCTTTCAGAGGTTCAGGGACTGACTAACTGTCACAGAAAATAAGATGGAAATCAAGTTGAAGCACTTGAGAACTGACAATGGCTTAGAGTACTGTTCAGAGCAACTTGGGATAAAGGGCATGACTGAGAGCTTGGGATATATCAGAAGGTGATAACTATGTTTTGTGACAATCAAAGCACCATTCACCTAATCAGAAATCAGGTATTTCATGAAATATTCAAGCATATAGACATAAAGCTTCATTTTGTGAGGGATGTCGTCGCCAAGAGTTCAATAGTAGTGGAGAAGATACCTACTGAAGAAAATCCTGCTGATATGCTCACTATGGTGCTACCGATATGGTGCTACCGACAACTAAGTTCAAACACTGTCTGGACTTAGTAAACTTCACCAAGGGCTGAGGCCCTCTCAAGGGCCAGGTGGAGGGAATCTTTACTTCGAAGCTTATCAATTAAGGGTCAAGGTGGAGAACTGTTATTTTGACCCCCAATTAATGAACTAAGCTAAAAGGGCAATTTTGTAATGTGGCATCGCTCACCTACCACATCTCACCTACCGCTCACCTACCGCCCACTTACCTCCCACCTACCACTCTCTTGTTTCTATAAATAGAGAGGGTGTGAGGCCTAGGAGAGAAAGGGAAGAGACCTTAAGCTACCACAAAAGAGGAGAGAATAACTAGAGAGCTAGAGAGAAAAAGAGCATCTTGAAGCCTTGTATCAAGGTGTCGCTTGAGAGGGAGGCCATAGAAGGAAGATGAGGGCTCATCTCTATGTATAAGCTATGTATTCTCCATTTCTTTTGCCTTAGTGAAATATTTGATTGATTCCCTTCCGTGGAAGTAGATCCAGTTAGATCGAACCACGTAAACGATCTGTGTTTGCATGTGTTCTTTTTCGTCTCATTTCTATGCCAGGAAGTACATATCTCACAATAATTCAAAATTAGTGATAAGCTGGCACATAAAGTTAAAGCACATTAAGATATTAAATTAAAATGATGACAAGCTGACACATTGCATAAACAAAAAGATTAGTACAAGTCTTTAGAATCATTATAGAGGATGTTGTATCATGCAAGCCACTTGGACACAAAAGAAACTAAGATAAACTAAACTAAAGTAGCACATGATTCATTTTAAAATGTGTGGTCTCAAGCTTGTGGACCAGCCATCTATGGCATAATAACTTGTGTGCTTAATGATTTAATGTATGGGCAAGAATTATGCAAGCCAACTTATGTCTTATTTCAATTTATTTGAAATTTATCATAATAAACTTTAAAATATTTTAATATTTTTAGTTTACTTCCAATAAAAAAACTCATATTTAAAAATATATATGTTTAAATTATTTTTTTGGGGCATTTACATAGATACCCCTCAATTCCTATGTATTTGCATATAAACTTCTAAATTTGCTTTTTATATTTATACCACCCATATATTTCATATCATATAAAAAAAAATACCACAATTTTAACTTTTAAAATGGAAATATATCTTTTCTTACATAGGTAAGGAGGTATGTATGTAAGATTGAAAATTTGTGATGGAAATGTAAATACATAAGACTCGAGTGATACGTATGTAAATATTTCTATTCTATTTTTAAGGTTTTAAACATAATATATAAAAAACTTGCAAATAATGTTGAAAATGTGGGGCTTACATATAGTGCACACAAAACATTGGAAATTACATATTTTGAACCGAAACTTCTTTATTTTCGTATTTAGAACTCTATTAGCCCTATTAATATTGGCGAGACTGACGACATGTAGTATACAGAGATATTTCAAAGTCTAACCCGGGTGGAGAATAGCTTTTTTTTTTCTTGATCGTTTCATTTTGCTAAGATTGCTATTGAGCTTTGATGAATTTTAGTCATTCAATAAAAATCAACAGTATTTTCAATATTTATAATCCTTTGATTTAAAATATTCATAATTCCTGGATGGAATTTTCATGATTTTTACAAGTAAGTTCTAAGCTCTACATCTTGGTTTTTGAAGATCTTCACTTTTTTGTTTGTTATTGCTTTATGCTTTATTAGGTTTTGTTGTTTGATTTTATGTTTCTTGGTTTTACTCTATCTCAAGTTTTATTTCATTTTTTTTTAATTGTTAGTCTATTATGTTGATTTTTTGTATTATAGTTTGTACTTTTCATTTCTACTTCCTTCAGACGCTTGGGCATCGACTTGATATGCAGATAATGTCATCTTTGATGAATGAATTGCATTTTTGCTAATTCTGTATGTTCGAACTCCTTCCCATAGTTTTCTTGTCCAACGAAAGTTTCTATTAGATGAAATTGATAGTGTCAATTTCATTTTCCTGTTTCGTTTGGTCATTCTTAGTATGGTTGTTGTTTTTGTTGTTTTTATTAGTCGTTTTATTTAGTTATGTTGGGTTTTGGGTTGCCCTTTGCATCTTAGATTTGTACTTGTGTGAGTTGTATTTATATCGTATATTAATGCCATGACCTTCACTTTTTCCCATAAAAAAAAAAAAAAAAAAAAAAAAGGGGAATTGAAAAAAAAGGCAGGGGAATGGAAGAAAAGGAGCTAGAACCACCAAATAACTCCTAAAAGGTGCAAGGGGAATGGAAGAGAAGGAGCTAGAACCACCAAATAACTCCTAAAAGGTGGCAAGGGAAGCAATCCAGAAGGTTGGTATCTAGAGATAAACATAGATTGTAGGAAGGTAAAGAACATTAATACTAGTGATGTAAGTATTGGAGCACAATACATCCATCCAACCATTATTATATGTGAAATAAGTACATGTGGATTTCATTATATTTTGATTATATTGATGGGGATTTCATTATATTTTGATTATATTGATTGTATTGATACAATCGATACAATCAAAATACAACGAAATCCATATGTGCAGAGTCCGCACTAATAATTTTTCCCACCCTCTTGAGACCTTGAAGATGGCGACTTTGCAGTCTAGGAGATAGCGAGGCCGACAGATCTCATTGACAGGTTACCTCGATATTCAAATTTCATGAAGGAATCGGCGACACAGTGACATAAGATTACTACGCATATTACTATTTATTTAATCTTGATTATTTGGAAGCTATATAAATAAATCACAATCATAACTAAATTGCGATGATGATTTATAAGAGCTTTTCTTAGAAAGGTTAGATCTTTCTTTAGTTCCAAGGAGACCATCAAAGCTAGAAGCTTTCCAATGGGCATTGAGCTGGTTCAACTTATGTTTCAAAGACCGATGAGAGGAGGAAGCAACCTCCTTCCCAAGTTCCATCCTTGTGAAAAAAATATTTCGTCCGGATGTCCACATATCCAAACGATCAACCATCGGGCGCTGCATCGCCCGCCGATGAGGTGTATGACGGCGTGACGCCCGGTGGATGACTGTTCGAAATTTTAGTGTTCAGAAAAAATGATTTTCTTCTCCATGTGACACAACTCCAAAAATGTCAAGCAGAAAGCCATGAGAAGAAAAAAAAATATTACATGAGGATGAGATAGAATATGATACGTTATGAGATTATTCACTACAACACCACCACAATACTGTCATAATACTATCAATCTGCACATACATATTCCATACTTAATATTCACTCCAAGAGAAGAGGAAGAACTTAAAAGTTCTATTTTAATAAAGTTTAAGAAAATAATAGATAAACGAACCCCTTCTAATCCTAATAAGTGGAATACTTATATGTCTACCATCATACACTAACAAAATAAGAAAAAAAATATTAAAGAAGTTTAAATATTCTATTAAAGTCTAATAATAATCATTAATTATTTAGGCTTTCTTTATGAGGCCTCTTCTTCTATAAAAAATTTATTTAAAAGCAAATTCACCATTAATGGTGGTATAAACTATAAAGTTGCGATTTTGGTAGATAAAAAGGAGCCAAAATGCATCTTCAAACAAAACCAAACGAATTGGACCACCTAGCATGAAAGAAGGAAGCTTGGGGTTAGTTATGTAATTTCTATTGTTTTATGTGTCATATTTGTAAATCCGCCCTGAAAAAAAAACTATAAAAGTTAATATATCCTCGTCTCCTGGTCGGGACTTCACCCGGTAAACAAACCCTAGAAGAAGCACGATCATTCGAGCAAAGCTGATGACTATAGACGACGACAACTCAATCTACGTCGGCGGCCTCCCGTACGATGCCAGTGAGGCTGACCTCCGCCGTACCTTCTCCCTATACGGTTCGGTAGTTGCTGTGAAGGTAGATCGTCAATCCCTTCTCAGAATCTGTTGAAACGCCTTATTAATCTATCATTCTTCTTTAATGAATTCCAATTCTAACGTAGAAATCGAGTTGCGGAGCAGAATCTGTTGTGCTTGTATGACGCATGCCCCTTGAATCCAAACTGGACGTTTGAGTTGAGATGGGTAGTTCTGGAATTTGGAGATGGACCGTGATGAGAACGTTAGTTACGCGATATTGTTTTGCACTATTTGAGAGGATTGCTTGAAAATGTAGGATTTTTAGGGATTCTGGATTGTTCTAGCGGGGGACATTGCCTCATTATGGGCGAAAATGTTGTTCGTACTACTTGTAGTTGTTAAGAGATATGGCTGCGTCTCTTCTTCCTTCATAAATGGAGCCCTATGGTAAATAAAACACCCCAATTGTTTGCATGACTAGTTTATATCGCTTTAAAACAAAAGAATTTTCTAAAGCCAAATTAGCGTAGAAGTGAGCCGCATGGTTGCAGTCTCTAGCCGTGTGGAGGAATATAACCCACCATAGTAAGGAAAGCTAGATTTGAAGCCTTGGACGGTTGGCTTTGCCACATCATCTTCTCTAATGTAGTTCTCAAGAAATTTATGAAATTCTCATTGTTTCCTTTAAAAATTACTCATTTTCTCTCAAGCATTCATTGGTCGCACATCCACTTTATTGGTGAAATGGCTTCAAGTTCAATTGGGGCCGAGTCCCAATGTTCAAATTTTTGCCTTGCCGCAATTAAACCATTCCCTTCTTCATCATGTATAATTGCTCTGGTCCTTGCTACATCGGATGACAGAAAAGCCCCATCTAAGTTAATTTTTATCCGTCTTGGAGAGGGAGGGTGCCGGTAGGAAGGAGAAAAACTCAGCCCACGTGGCTGACTAACACCCCATTGCTTCCGGAAAAAAATATAAGTGGGTTTTAGTGAGGCATTCAAGGACATTGGCAACAATAATGGTTCAAGTACCCTAAGATTGTCCATGACTTTGGCGTTCCGTGCCCTCCAACAATGATGCACCTCATAATAAAATGTTCGACCCAAAGCATCAGTTTGTTTTCCTATCTTGCTTAATATGAGAATGGCTTCCTCAGAGGTATTAACTCGGGTTAGGTGGTTACCCCATTTGCCCAAAACACAGGTAACATCTTTTAGAAATCTGCATTTGAATGTAATATGGGTTATATTTTATTCCTTTTTGCAGTCCCAAGGATAATTAACAGTGTCTATCAAACCCTTTCTTGGTAACCATTTTCGTGTAGGAATGGCATCATCATCAACCTCCATCAAAAGAAATTCTCCCAAGGGTGTAACTGTAACCTCTTAAGCCATGTGAACTCACTTCTTTGTTCAGGAAAAGCTTCTTCATGTGCTCAAGATGTAATAGTTCTACTTGTGCGCATACGGATGAGTTCAATTTCATCCTGTCCGACATTTGTATAAATTGGAATAAATTGGAATTTGCATTATATTTGCATTATTATATCCTCTATTTTCTTATCAAAGCATTATCAAATCATCTGTCATCCAACAATTATTACTGATAAGATAAGCTACTTTTAAGTATTCGTGTTTTTCTAGCTTAGTGTGTGTTTGATTTTAAATTGTCCTTTGTGAACAAACTCCGAGAGTTTAGGAATGAATGAAAGAATAAAGAGAGAAAGAGAGTAAGTCAAGAGTTCCTATGGAGAGAGTCAATAAAAAGTCATTTTATTTGTATTTTTTGCTTCATATTTATAGAGATTTATTTTGTACAATTACAAAAATAAGGGAACAGTTATAGAAACAACCCTTAATGCAATTGATGTTTTATTGTATTACAATTTGAATTTAAACATAACGGTAATTTTTTGATTTACTTGCTTGAATTCGACTGATTGAGGTGGTCGGCTGAGTGGTGACTGCGCCATAGGTGGTCGGTTGAGGCGCCCGGTCGAGTGCCGATCTTGTCCGTTGTGGTAAAGGCGGGTCGACCAGTCGCGATCAAGAATTCCCTCTGGCACCACGGTCGGTCGAGATTGTCGACGTGGTCAATCGTTTGAATTTCTCGTCATGGTGTGTTGGTCAATTTTTGACCACATGGATAGCAGTAGAGGTATGATATCTTGGTTGTCTGGCCGTTGTCTGGGTCGTTCGAATGCTTTGAGATTTATGCTGACAGTTTTGGTGTATGCATATTAGTTTTTCGAATTTTTTTGATCCTTGAAAGTGACAACCATAATAAGGACAAAGAAATTTTTTAGTATTCAATGGTACTTCGTTGTCTGGGTCGTTCGAATGCTTTGAGATTTGTGCTGACAGTTTTGGTGTATGCATATTAGTTTTTCAAATTTTTTTGATCCTTGAAAGTGACAACCATAGTAAGGACAAAGAAATTTTTTAGTATTCAATGGTACTAGGTTCAAGATATTCAATTTAATAATCAACTTCCCTGAGATTCTGTGCGCAGTATACTTTATAGATAGAGTCGTAGGCTTAACATTACATCCGCTGTCGTCATTTTTCTCTGATCGGCTGATTTGCGTTGTGGTTGTCGATCTGAGGGAGCTCCATGTAGACCCCAAGATTCTGGCAAAGATGGGCTGTGGACCTCCGACTTCTGTAAAAAAGATCACGCTTAGAAAAGAAAAGCGGTGAGGATCGAACCTGGGCCGATTGATCAAGTCGGCTCTTCTGGGGACCCTAAGGGGTAGGTGTCGAAGGTCCCTCATCAGGAGATCGTGATTCCTGAGTCGGGCACGAGTGCGAGCTCTAGGGGCCAACAAGCCTTGCTCACTGAAGGCGTCGAGGAGGGTGTAAAGGGTCGGAAGTAATAGAGATTGGAATCTCTTCTCAGCCACTGTTGCAAGAAGGCGAAGGCATCTTGCTACAAAAGGAGGGAAGATGTCTGGAGACCATCTCCTCAATATATATGATTGTGAGTACGTAAAGATTTTTGTTTGGCCGCCACCGACTTTTAATAGTTCTTCAACGTTTTTCATATGCAGATGAATTGACTGAGTCAGAGGGTCACCAGGACGACAGACAACCAAAAAACACTACGGAGTCCTTTGCTGCAGTGGTTGTTCTACCGGCCGAGCTCACGGGAGTCCTATCGATATTTATTTCAAAAGGATACTAGCCATCCACTCCTCTGCCCGCTGCTGGTACTAGATAAGAGCGAATGAAGCATCGGTCGCCTTCCCTTGGAGCGGCGGGGCAACAGACAGAAGGGACCAGGTCCTTGGCGGTGAGGGTTGTTTCATCAACGTGATCGATCAGAGACCTGACTGCTAATCATGTGTGGTAGGTCTTAGTCCCTCTGAAGTTCACAGGTTCGATCATGGCGGCCCTACAAGCAGAGGTTTGCTGCTTTGCGGGATGACATGACTGAGGTGTCGTGCGAGCTGGGAACACTTTGGGAGTCGACCGGCCTATCCAAATTTCACTACAAACTAAATGATTGGAACAACTTAGGATAGGAGGGGCGATGGTCCTCTGAAGGTTGACTCAGAAAGGGCATGTCCCGCCTAAACCTTGGAAGACCCGCTCATAAAACATTTTATTTTAGACATGTAATAATGTTATTTGGAAATGAAAAAATATTTGAGTAAATTTGAATAGATGTTTGGTATGTGACTCATCATTGTACGACACTTCATTTTTCGCGTTTGCGCTATAATTAGGGTGCAGGACCATTATTTCTTACTTTATGTGTTTCTGTGTCTGCCTTCGAGCTTTTCGTTTTATTTGCTTTTTTTCCCGTTTCGTTCTTTCGACTTTCTTCAATTTTTTAAAATGGCGCCAAAGTATTTTTCCACCCTCTTGGGCTCCGTTAAGAGCGTTGGTCCTTCTTTCTTGAAGGAGAATGCAGTAAAAGAGTTGTAGAGGAAGTATGTGTGCACGATTGCGCCTCCTTTCATAAATTGCCGAGGTAGGTGAAGGCGACGGACTTTTTGGGTAAGGATCTGGTCCTTTGCCAAGACCAGTTCAATTTTGAAATCAGTTTGCCTCTGGCATTGAACTCCGAAGTGTCTTTAACATGTATGTAGTTATTTTGGTGCAAGTAATGTTGAACTTCATAGTCGCAATAATTACGTTCGTTCTTTTCTGTTTGCGGGAGCACACCTCGTGGATTATCAACCTCTTTAAGTATTTTTTTTTCGTTTAAGGTCGATAGGGAGAGTTGTCATGTTCTCGGCAGGAAAAGAGCTCCAATTGACAGGAATGGAGAACAAAATAAATGACTAGAAGAAGTTCTTGGTGAGTTATTGTTCTGATGCTTGGGGGATTCAAAATGAGCCGATAAGATGGTCGGTGTCCAAGCTGAGGTTTCACCCGTAAAACATGATCGACAGGGAGATGCTCACCGAACGTCATCTGTCGATCAGATAATATAGTGCAGAGGCGACAGTTACCATGCGTTAGCCAGTGAGATGACAGAAGCGCTATGGTGTGATTTGGACATTGTAGAGGATGTTCAAACGAAAGAGGCGAAGGAAAAGTTGGCTACTAAGTGCTAGAAGCAAAAGCGTCTCACAGAGTCAGGTAATCTTATGGTAGCCGATGATCCACTCCCTTACAATGTGGCTCCCTTACAATGTGGCTACGAAGCTACGAAATATCATGTTTCTGTGTCTGCTCATAGCTTTGTTATTCAAGACCAGATTACTAGCGAGGTCACTGCTATTCCTCGAAAACATTGTTTTCTCATTTTGTTAATGTAGGGGAAGGTGCTGAGATGGAGCCCACTTCTGAAGGGACTTTGGACGGAGCTACAGCTGCAACTCTCTCTTCTTCTGCAGCTAGTGTGCAGGTTGGTACGACACTGACCGTTGTCATTCTACCGGATCCTTAGGCCGATAGTTGTTCTTGCGTTTCTCTGTTCAAGAGGTACAAGACGAGTCAGACTGTCCCTTCTTCTATGTATAGTTCTTCATCAGGGGAGTCGACTTCATCCATTGAGAGTGAGATCCCGCCTTTGCGTGAGGGAATAAAGGTACGTCAGCGAGGA